CTCGTTTCTGCCTCATTTGCATAAATCGCAATCCTGAAAACACAACACACCTTAGCTACATCAAAACACTAACGTAAAAGCAATAATAGTTCTTGTGTATCAGCACCATATATGGTCTAGAGAGTTCGCTCAAACTAGCGGCCTGTAGGCCACATGCGGCCTCTGGAGGACTTTTATTATGGCGTTGTAAAGGTTTCAAGATTTTAGTTAATTTAGGTTATTTTCATATTCATTTAAATCGAACATGAGTAACGCAACAGGATACTTTTAAATGGAGCTAATTAATTAGCGATGCGATGTAAATCCTACTGAAAGATTTCAAGACAGAGATTTTATTAACTTTTATATGTACGTATCAAAAAATAAATAAGCTGAGTTATGAATTTTTGCACTAAAAGTTTGCTTCGGAATACATTTATATGTAAATAGCCTTTTTATGACAGTTTAAAATTATTAAAAAAATAACTCGATCGACCGATGAGTATTTACGATCCTTGATGAAGATAATTCTAGTTATTTAAACTTTATCATAAGAGAAACGTCAAGTGTCAGACTGAAGTAAAAAATAAAGAACTTTATAATTATTTACATACAAACATTTGTACTTTTATTTATGCATGCAAGAAAAATTTAATAAATAAGAGAAAGAGACTAGACTATTATTATTTATTCCAAAGTGTTATGTCACTTTGTAAATTTTGTCTGAAAATATAGAAAGTTTTATTAATCTGTTTATTTTTATTTTAAACTTAAGCAAGTTATTTAATGATTAATTAAGCATGTTAGCATTATTTTAAAGAAATGTCTACGTAAGAATTTAATGTTTAGCTGTCTATTTTAATTATAACAAAAATATATTATAATACCAAATTTTGGATTTCAGATAGAAAATAAATAAAGTTTAATAACAAATGTTGATATTGTTACGAAAACCTAGCTGCGGTAAGATAGCTTCCCCGCAAAGCGCAATTAGGATTGTCAGAAAGTGGCAAGGGGAGGCCGGGGTTGCCAGATATGGCGCGAAATCGCCTATTTAACGATATTTGGAGACAAAATTGGCCATATGCCATAGACGGAGCTAGAATATTCTAGAAAGAATTCTTACCGGTTTTCCCGAGAATGTTCTGGAACGTAGGTCTAAACCTATATATACCCTACCTGTACGAGGAGTAGAGTATCTTGAGAGTATCTAGAGAATGTTGAGCTTAGTAGTAGTGTCTTGAGCTCAGAGATTAGTTCGAGAGCGTTCAAACCAGTCGGAAACTGCACTTTAGTTCTTTGCCGTGAAGCTGTCTTCAGCCTTATAGCCTAATAGCCTGAAGGCTGTGTTACTGATTCCTTCAGCGTGTTTGTCGTAGTTTTTCGACGACTATAACGCATCTTTGGAACTGTACTGTATAATACTGACGGATAAAGTATGTCTCGATTCTTCATCAAGCGTTGTCATCAATCACTCCGAATCCACGCACCCGTAAACGCAACACTATTATTACTTATTTATTTTGTATATGTGTGTTTTAATTACACGTGTAATAATATGTAAAATAACATTATTATATACATAAAATTTAAGTAATGTAAATTTATTTAAATATAAATTTGAATTTTTTGTTTGTGATATTATTATTTTTGTGCATGTTTGTTTTAATATATATTTAGTAAGCGAAATTTAAAATTTATTTTAAATGTTTTTCATTTCGTTAAAAAGTCTTTCAATTTCTAAAAAAAGATTCTGCCGTTATCTATTTTCGGATCGTGCATTCAACTCCGAATGTTATTTGAGTTTGTGTCCACTGGTCTAGAGTTTGTAACATTGGATTAATAGAAGTGCTATATGGGAAGTAATGCTCAGCTGAATAGGAATTTAGAAGTGTCAAAGAATAAGGTTTGGTTAGGTTTGGTCTGGTTTGGTTTATTTGATTATGGCAGAACATGCGATGGCTATCTGCATAACGGAAGGTTACCTTCGTGAAAAACTTTCTAAGGGAAACTGGTTCGTATCTACGCTGCGCATGGGGAAAAGCACAAAAACGCCTATGCAGCCAAGACTTTTGCTTGAAATTAAAGCCAGGTGGAGTTACCACTGATCAGCAACCTTACTGGTCGGCTGCAGCTGAACCCAAATATGTGTGTGTGTGTGTGTGTGTGATATTTTAATGCGTAGAAGAAACCCGACACTTTTAATTTCCGGCAGTCGAAGGGACTTTACTGCGTAGTTAGAAAGATGGATGCATAAACCAAAACTTCCAGAAGTGGCCGTTTCGAAACATACTTTTATTCCTTGGTAATGCACATCAAATTATTTTTGGTAGACAAGATAGTTCTAGATCATCAGCAATTACAATAATTTTTTGTACACAAGTTAATAAGTACGACGTCATCTTAAACAAGTAAGCATAGCAGTGCAGAGATGTTTGCAGGGCAGAAGTTAAGAAAAAGAAGTGACGTAATTGCTCGTTAAGCAATATTTATACTAGGTAGTTGCATATGTACAGCTAAGCTGCGATTGGTTAATTTTAGGTTTTAATTCTCTTTTCAAACAGTGTTATGTAACTTGGAAAGTTCTCGAATTTGGGAGAAAAGATGTACTTAGGGGAAGAACACACATTTTAGAATAGTCAACTTTGAGGTTACCAATTATTTTCTTAAGGTAGCCATCGTATTCTATTATATCTTACATATCTTCTCCCTTTCAAAAGAAAGGTTGGGAGAGAATTTTGGGGAAAAAAGCATTAGTGTATTAGCGAAGCAAGAGAAAATTTAAGCATCAAGGACAAAGCCTACAGGTTTTCCTACGCCCGTCATTGTTCATAAACTTTCTCATTTGTAGATTATGAAATACTTAAACGTATAATTTCCAACTGTTGGAAGAACAATATAATCTCTAAATAAAACTAAATAATAAATTAGCACAAGTATTTTTGAAAGTACTTAAGTTTGAAAGTCCATTCCTTGGAAAAAATGTCTAACGGAAAGTTTACAGGCATCATTCAAAAATAGTTCCACAAAGTTAAATGTTCAACAAAATGTCCAGCAAATTTCCTTGATGAAAATATTTCCACATGAAAATTTGAAGATATAACACACAATTTATGATTAATTGAATAAGTTCTTCTTATTGGGGATACTTGACATATTTAATATAATAGGAAAATTCAATGTAAAAACATAATGATATAATGCAATACTGAATAACATAATGATATTTTGACGATTACTTGGCATTTTCTCTCCGACAAACTCAGCGTACCAACTTGTTGATGGTATTGAGATGCTTAAGTAATATATCAAAAAACCTCCGTTCCTTAGAAAAAGGTAACTGATTTTTGGCATTGTACAATTGTCAAAGTTTTTCTTTCAAAAATTTTCCCAAGCTAGTGGTTTTGCGATTTATAGAAATTTGACGAGTGTAGAAGATTGTGTCCCAATAGAGTTTATTGTTAAACAGCGGCAGAGAACACAGGATTCAGAAGCAGACGACATTTGTATGATTGCTGTAATTGTTAAGTCAAAATTTATGGCATTCGTATATATTCATTCAACTCTTCATTTAGGAGATTTGAAGATCACGTCCGGGTCCCCAATTATTGATATTTTACGTTCTTAGGTTGCTTGTATCTTTCTCACTGTAAAGTCATCACTCAACTAATCCAGGTTTAATTATTATTTTATTACAGGTCCATCTTATTTTGGAAAATATATGATAAAAATAAAACACCCCAGCATCAATCCTCAAGTTCCATGTGCTGCCATTTGATGACTATTTGGATGAGTGTAATTATTTAGATTATGAAATGGTCGAACTATAAAGGTGCCTTCTAAATTCAAGGACTTTGATAAGAGCGTAGCTAGAGGGGGGGCAAGGGGGGCATCTGTTCCCGGGCGTAGAATCCAAGGGGCGCCAACTGATGTTACGACATTTTAGAATTAAATGTTTTCCATCCTTGGCAAGCAGTAGGGGGCGCGAAATCTTCAGTTGTCGTTGGGCGCTGAAAACCCTAGCTATGACTCTGGACTTTGAACTTTAAAAATAGACTTTTAAGTGAACTTTAAAACAGACTTTTAAGTGAACTTCAAAATCTAATTTTAGGTTAAATTTTAGATTAATTAAATATTTATTTTGATAAAAATCCTGTTATCAAAAAGTAGGAGTATGTAAAGTATAGCATTGTTCATATACATTCAACCAGTGTAATATTATTTTCCCTTTAGATGGCAACAGTTGTGGAAAATTATTATTTTGGTAGAATAAACCTGTTTGGTTGTGTTTAAATTCTTACAAAGATTATTTAGGTAGAAATGAGTAGATGAATGTGCAAAATGGTGTATATTTACTGTTGTATCTAACAGAAGTCATGTGGTGTATATATCAGATTTTTCGTGATTACAATACTTCCTTTACTTCACACAAAGAAGTAAAAAAAAAGTCTACATTCAATTTTTTTTTTTTTTTTTTTCATGAAGAATACTAACTGCTATAATTTGTTTGAAAAAATTGCAAAACTGAGAAAAATTAGTGCACGTTTAGATCGTGATTATTTTTCTGTCAAAGAGCTGGACAATTTCGATGGGAATCTGCGACTCCCATCGTTTGAAAGCTGTCTCGCGATCGAAACTTTTCTCAGCTTTACACCAAGAGCCTGCACAAATAACCAAACTACAAATAACCACTGGGATACATAAATAATCAACGGGATCTTAGTTGGGAGCCTCTAGAAAATAAACGGGAAATCTATTGCATAACTTTTCGTGTCGACTTTGAATACAGCATTTAATTTTAGTTTCCCAAATTTTTGTAAATTAAATTAGAAAAGCAATTTCAAGCAAATTTATTAATTTTAGTTATTTTCAAGTCTGATAATTGAAATACATTTCTTTAAGTTAAAAATTAACTCTCAGTCTGCTATCAAAAAATTAAATAAGTACTTTTAACGAAGAAGACTACTGCTTTCAAGCTAGAAGAAGACAACATTTTAGTTTTTAGTGCGAAGCGGCGGAAATATAAGTTTCGTGATTAAATGCCGTTTTCGCACACGGTTTGTTTCCCTTCTAATTTCCGAGTTAGTTTTTCTGTCTGAGGAATTCAAAATTGAAGCCATTTGAGAGGTGGGAAATTAAAAAAAGATCGGTTTCCTTTTTACTTTTATTTATTGGATTTTCTAGAATGCATCCTTGTAAATATATCGTGGTGAGTTAAATTTTATATTTGTAAATATTACCCCAAGTTATATTTGCTTCGATTGATTTGTGACGACTGTCGTTGCTTTAATTCATAAAATCAGAAAATGTAGTGTTTTAATTTATTTTATGTAATTTCAGAATTTAAAATTAGCAGTTTATTTTCCATTCAATAAAGAATAAAAACCTATTTATTTGGCCAGATATAGCCAACGTTTCTTTAGGCCCACCAGCGGCCGAGCGGTAAAGTTGCTGAACATTAGTAGTTCGGTCCGAGGTTCGAATCCCGCGAACGGGCTGGCTGCATCGGCGTTTTCGTGTTTTTCCTCATGTGTAACGTGTATACGAGCCAGTTTTCCTTAGAAAGTCTACCACGAAGGCATCCCTTTCCTTAGGCAGATAGCTCTAGTGTGCTTTGCCATAATTAAACCAAACCAAACTTTTCTTTAGCCTGTTAATCCTGCAACTAATACTGCTTTCTTTAAATAAGAAGTTTTATTCACTTTTTACATTCGCTGTGATGCATCCATATTTCAGTTCTTTGTTGAAAATGGAAATAATGCCTGGCTCTAATTTAGTAGTTCTCATAAAATAAATTAAATAAGTTGGGAAATTTTTATGTGATGGAAATCAAGGTCAGTTATAACACTTTCTAGTTATAACACTTTCTGTGGCTTCGATCATCAATTATTTTTTGCTGACAAAACATAATTTGATATTCTGTTTTCGTGTTTTCATTGAGTTAAATTCATTAGTATATCATCATTTCTTAAGCTTACAGTTTAGCTACCAACATAACCTTTTTGACTAAAGTGTTTAATAAGTGCTGTAGTTATTTATATTATGACTGGATATTTTATTTTTTTACAAAGAACAGAAAATGGAAAATGAAATTCTGCATGAACTAGAAAACATTTTCAAATAAAATAATCTAAAATTTGAACTATTGCACAATACCACATAAATTATGTAAAATAACTAAAAAATTTATATTTGTCATTCATTAAATTAATCTAAATTTTAAAATAATTTAATAATAACTTAGCACCTTTTATTGGAAAACTTAATGATGGGACATAGCTCCATCATCTTGATATTAAATAATTTGATATCCAACAATAAATTTAGGTAAAATCCTAGTATACGGTGCAGCCTTGGCGCGATTTTGAAAATTATCCCCAACACCAAAAATGACTAAAAGAACGTCTATATATATACTATACACTATATACTATCACTACATACAATACTATATACTATGTATAACTATATACGTTCTTTGAATGACTCGTTTACTATTCATCGTGTATGTTTCGTTTTTACTGCTTATCATAAAGTCGCCAAATCCCATATGCACTGGATACTAGGATTAAACCATAAATTTATTTAAAACAGATGTCAATTTTTAGCACTTGTTTAAATTTTAGATTATCTACAAGTCATTTGACTAATCTTAAACAAGCTTCGATAATAGGGTTCCTAAGAAGAGGAATATTAATATAAGTATAATAAGAAATACATGACCTATGTTTTTTAAGCAATAAATAAGCAAATGAAAAACAAAGAGGCTTAAATTCAGATAAATTCACTAAAACACTCATACAAGTCTCAGTGAGCCTCCAAGCTCGCCACTTATTATCATCTTTAAGAATAATTGTTGGACCAACTACCTCAGTTTTCGATCTTACAATGTAGTTAACGTCTTTATTCCAAATCTCTTTAACGCGACTGTAATAAAGATGTTCAGATTAGAGCTCAAAGAAAATTTAGTCTTCATGATAATATTGCTAGTACTGAAAGTAAAAATGTTCCTTGGCATATTCTGTATTTCTCCTTCTTTCTAGATATTTATTTACTCATGAAGCTGAAATCTTGATTTGTCCATTAACAGTACTTCAGACCATTAAGCTGCTTTCTGAATTGCATGTTCTACTTCAGCCATGCTTTGCTTGCCTTAATGTTTAAACGGCTGATCTTTAGAATATGGTAACTGGTAGTTAGGCGATAAACCTGGGACTTTGGTAATAATGTGAGCAGTACTCAGTTCCGATTACGCATTATTTTGTGTGAGGGAAATGAGAGATCATGGGATATGTCATGTGATATTAATGGACGAATTACGGTTCTTTAATCGGAAAAGGGGGGAAATCGGGAAAAAATCTGGAAATTTTGTATTTGGCTTTATTCTGTGTTGTGTGAAACAGTGTTCGTAAATTTTTGGATCCCATGGCCCTAACTAAAGTGAATTTGAAATGGGTATTTAGTGGGATTGAAAGGGGTAGTAATAAGTGTTTCTTTAAGGTTGTGCAAGGTAGAAGTAAAGATGTTTTATTAAGTTATTTATTTTACCTGGTACCTTGCTGTGAATTATAAGTATGATTTTAAAGATCCTGAAACATAAATAAGAAAAGTTTATCGGACACGTAATCAAGATTCTGAAGAAGATTAGGTAAGTTAGTATTTTTAATTATTTGAGGATATTATTTTTATGCATTGTTCTAAATGTAAGGTGGAAGTAAAGTAATTTGGTATTATTGGGAAAATTGTTATTAGCAATGATTTAGTTTAAAGTAATTAGGATTGTAAGCTAATTTTTATTAATTTAATGTATGTGCTTATTTATATTTTAAGTAGTGTTTTTGAATTTAATTATATTTTAATTAAATGATAGTTTATTTTGTGAATTTTATGTTTGTAGAATTTGGTTGGTATATGTTTTAGTTGAAGTAAACGTGCATGGAAATAATTTAAATATTTGACACTAAGTATTTGTAATGCTTGCGGTATGAATTCGTTGGTGACGTTTATAATATAATAGATGATTTAGAGGTAAAAGTTTTTGGATATTTTATTTATTTTATATGTGGAAATGTTCATATTTGGAAAGGGTATATACTTTTTCGCGATCAGGTAATTTCATATATGTTCTTTTTTAACCGGGTTTAAAAAGATTCAGAAAATTGTCATGTATTTTCGTGAAATTTTTCTAATTTATGAGAAAAAAGCAGTGTACATGGATATAGTGAAGAGTGTGCGCAATGCCATTTTTGTGTAATTCTGGGATGTTTTTTTAAGTAAAAATAAGTCGACATGTACATGGTTTATGTGTATGTGTTATTTTGAAAAACGCGTAAGGAGTATGGTATTGTGCACTTTTTCCCAATTTTGCAGTGAATATTTGTCATGATTAAGCAGTTTTGTTAGATAAAATTTCTAGCATAAGTGTAATTCGGCTAGTAGATTGTTGGAAGAAGTGTTCAGTAGATAAAAAGAAAAGAAACATGTCTTTACTTCGTGAAGACAAAATGGCGGCGGGAAAAAAAAAAAAAAATAGAGGGTTGCTGTAGGAGAGTTGGTCGCCAAATTTTCGCCAAAAAATCGCCAAGTTACCATAATGTAAAGATCAACCGTTTAAAGATATGCAAACTCTTAGTTATAGCTAAGCAAACTCGGTACTTTTCCGTTTCGCCGGCACAAATCTCGCCAAGCAGACTTTATTGGCGACAACATACAGTATACACATAAAAAATATTTAAAAAATTTTAGTTTTAAGAAATCTTTTTTTGAAGGCATAAACATTTTAATATCGCTTAAAACTTTATAAAAAGCCAATAAATAAAGACAATAAATTTGTAAAAAGACATTAATTTAAGAATTTACTATGCTTTCATGTTTCAACATCCTAATTCCCCAGTTCATTCATATCACGTGACCCCAAGCGATCTCATCTCACGTAAACTACTCTACAAAAATCTAATGCTCTCAGTAATTAAGTTAAATCTTAATTTCAAGTTAAATTTTAATTTGGAACACAAGTTTAAATGCAAGAAATATTTCAATGCGTACGAATAGCTTACTCAGAAATTATGTAAAAACTGCAGTGCTTTACTTCGCGAATGCATTCTTATTAGAATTGATGAATTTAACCCTTGACTTTCCTTTTCTATATTTTCGGCTTCGGTTAAGCACTGTGATTGCATCCTAATTGACTTAACTACCGAAAATGGCCTTAGACATAAAACTGAACTGTCTGATAAAAATTCTATGTAATTATATGCGAATATTGAAAGAAACAATCAATCTGATAAGAAAAAGCTGCGACTTGTTTCGAAAATGAGGCGTAAAAGGTTACCAGCGAGAATATTCCGTTTGGCATCGGTTGTACCATTATTGGCGACTTTATCGCTTGCGCCGGCAAAACGGAAAAGTACCGCAAACTCTTAACATATAGCCTTTATATATATTCTGTGATGTACAGTAATCCCAGATTTTGTTGTTCCAGTGTCCGAACAATTAGTCATATAATTTATTCAACCACTCGTCGACAAAGCCATACATTTATCAGAAGGTATGGTAATTCTTGGACAACCAAAAATAAGTCTGTAGTAACTAACCTATCCATTTTAAATTGTTTCCGAAGCATAAAATTAAAGAGTGGTGAAAAGTAAGGAAAATGGTAATATCTTTACTATATTGTCCTTCTCTTAATCTAGTCAACAGAACTTTAATGTTAGGAAATATCCAGTTGTCTTCTTTGAGATTTAATTGATATTTCCTGATGAAAAAATGGAAGCAGAATCATCTTTCACAAATTTTCTGTCTAATTCAGAAGGGCATCTTTAAATTTTCAATTTGTGCCCAATTTGCATATTTGTGGAAAACAAATCCCAGCTGTCTGCTTGTATGATATTTGCATATTTCCTTCTGTAATCGACAGGTGTTTTAGCTAATGAAATTGAACACATGTCAAAATTTAAATGGGCACTTAACTTTAGGAAAGTAGCTTATGGTATTAAGGAAAGCTGTCTATTATATCTTTAAAATTAAAACACTGATGTATGCAATTCTAGTATTTTTTAAAATGGGGTTCTAAAAATCTTTCAGTCCAAAGCAATCTATCATATGATCACATATAAAAATTAATGATGAGGCAATGCGAGTATGAAATCTTTGGTGCCATACTTAGGGAATTCCAAATCTAGACTGGTTTTGAGCAGAGCAAAGTCTTATTCCCATTGCTACTCAATCTTAAAAGCAAAGAAAAATGTACTCATCTAATGTCATCCATGTTTTTCAGGAAGTCGTCTGTAGATTGAAAAAACATATTGTTCTAATTTTTTTCTGATATTGTATGTAAGTTGCAATTTAATATTTTGGAATGCAAATGTTTTCATGGTTCCTGATTACTATTTATGTTAAAAGCTGTTTTTTATTTAGATTTCAGATGAAGAGGAAGGATATCCATTAGATGCCTTTTGTATTCCACGTCATTATGATGCTTTCCTGGAGCGGGTATTACTTCCGTGTGGAATTATACATGACAGGTTATAATCCAATTTTTAAATAATGGAGTGCGCAATAAATTTTAACATGTTTTGAGTGTGTCTACAGTAGAGTCGTGATTACCCATTTTATCTGACATATTGTAGAAAAACAATGCATATAAAGAAGCATTTAACTGGATACATTCAAAGACTAAATATTATTTAAAGAACTTGACAAATAAAAGTAATGTCTAAATAATTCATGTTTAAATGTCAAAACAACACACTAATAAATTTTATTTTAATTGCCTAATTTAGTGGTTAACATATTGTAGCAAATATTGGATTTCTAAGTCATACTTAAAAACCATATTTTATCACTAGCAATAATGGGTTCTAAGACTATGAATATTCTTTTACCATTTTCTTGTTTTTTAACAAAAATTTAAGAATAGAGTACAGATTCCAAAATTCAGGTGGAATACTCTGGAATGACCTATTTCTTTTTCAGTACTCTCATAAAAAAATTCTTCTCTAATAATTTGTTGTTATTATTATTATTATTATTTACTTTCCAACACTGCATAAGAACAGAGAATATAATACCCGAGAAAAGCTAGTGTGCCATAAATTGATGGGTGAAGTGCAGAATCGCCCACTTTTTTGGTGCTTTTTACAAGAGTAAGAAGAATTGGAATTGGATTTTTGACAATTTCCTTTCGCTGTGCATCTCGCGATTTCCACAGGCAATGTAGAAGTAGCACAATTTGCACAATCTGCGATTTCCATGGGGATGAATTTTTGCCGTCTATTTAACTATGCAACCCGCTCTTTCTCCGTTCAAGGTTTCCTTTCGACTTTTCTGTGATGTTTGATTGTTTATTTAGATGTGAGGTAACAGATGGCGTTAGTTGTCCACATTTCTGCCAAATATAAAAGAATACGTAATGTAGCATTTTGCACACGCTTTTCAGAGCTCAAAGATGTCTGACAGGAAGCGTTTCGTGAGTGATATAACCTAGATTCTCGACACTGATAGTAGTTCTGACTCTGATTTCTAGTATTTTGAAGATAGTTATAGCAAAACTGATGAGAATTTCTCGGATTCCTCTGCAGATAGTCATGAATCTGAAAATTCAGTTTCTATTGAAAACGTTTGACAGTGGTGCAAAATATTACATTATGGAAATATTTTCATTAGTATATATGTTTTACATATGTATTTTATAAAATAAATCATAATTTAACCACTATTAATTTTCAAAATTTTCCTTTATATATCATTATTCTTCAATTTCAGTATTCTGACAACCTTTTACTATAATCTAATTCTATATCGAAAAAAACTCTTTTACAAAAAATTCTTGCATATTTTAATTCTAAAATATATATAGATTTGAAATATATAATAAAAAATACACAATTTTTGAACCTAGTTTGATAAAAAAAAAGTATGCAGTGAGAGGGTTAAGTGAAAATGTATCAATGTGTACAGGGACAAAGTCAAGGGAATGTGCAGTGCCGAATTTGTGCAAATCTCTGATGATCTTTTTTAAGTGAAAATAGGTTGATGTGTACATGGATACCGAGTTTGTGCAATTCTTAAAAACGCACTAAGCAGTGGATGATTCTGCACTTTTCCCAAATTGATTTTTATTCCCATTAGCTGAGATTTTGCCGAAAAATAGGATTATTCATGATAGTTTTAAATCATCTTGCATGTCATTTCATTTTTAAAAATCTCTCTTCTAACCATATTTTCATTTTTAAGCTCAGCACTTTAAATTTCATTCTTCCTCAATTTTCTGACTTGTTGCAACTTATTGTTTTGTTCAGTGTATTATTACCATTACCATATCAAAATTTAAATTTTAGTAAAAGATAATGTTTCCATTTTACTCTTTCCTTGAAACTGTACATTTATTAATCAGCCAATAAATATCAGAATCCTGTTTACCTTAAAATCCATGCAGCAGTATAACCATCTAAGAATTCTATAAAATCTACCATACAAACCATTGCATAGTCATGAAAAATACGCAGATATTTTAAATAGTGTTTGCCATATATGTTTCTCAGACTGTGTTGCAAGGGAAAAATGAAGCTTTCTGTGTAAAATATACTAAGAAATGCATCAAAATGCTAAATAAATTGATATATATGTTACCAGCAAACTCTGAAATGCCGCCATTCTATAGAATGCCTAGGCATTGTATATGTAATGCTAGACTTTTTAGGCAAGGTATCGGAAGTATTACATACTTTTCCTAGGCATTGTGTATAATACCTAGGCATTCTCTTGAGTGACAAATGCTATTTAGGTAAAGTATGAAAAAAACACCCTGATGAGGTTATTATGTGAATGATGTGCATTTGTCAAAAATACATGTTATTCTGGAAAAAATAATGAGAGTGCCAGTAAAAAAAATTATTCAAAATGCATAAAGAAAAATGAATGTTGTACAAAACATAATTTATGCCTTTCTTATTAAGGGAAACAAAATTTTCATATAAAAATAAGAAATTTACGTGCTTGTTGCATCATTGCAGGCGTAAATGACATTTTGAAGTACATTTCATTAAATTTTTCACGCAGACATTTCATATTTTCGCACTTTGTTTTACACATACATTTGATGAATCCTTAGCCACTGCCACTGACTGAGCAATTGCAGCTGACCGGTGAGGAATATCTTCAATTCTAAGCAAGTTCTTAGGGCATAAAGTGAATTGTGATCTCGCATATACTTGTTTTAAAATTCCTTCAGGAGTTTCAAGGTCGATGGAAACCATCCTCTATTACACTCATTACAGCTGCCGATATATTGCATGAATCATCTCGCCTCTTGTCAACATCAGGAATTTGAACGCTCACAGTTGCTCCCTAAGAAGCAGTGGGAAATTTTTTTTCTAAATTCATTAAAAAAATTTTTTTGGGGGGGGGGGCTTGTATTTCGAGATAGATTTTAGAGTTTATTTTACTTTCAGTAGCATTTTAAGTTTTGAAACAAATATGGCACAAAATATCCATTTCATCACCCACCTGGGTGCAGAAGGATGCATTTTTTGACGACTCACTTTGCATGCAAGTGCATCACTCGTTTCCTTTAAACACATACAACAGGTATCGGAAATGAAAATCTCTTTGGTAGGCATGCCTTCATCATGTTGGTTTAGTCCATTATCGAGTATAATTTTATGCGTGTATTTGAAACAGGTTCTTTTTCTTGCGTAATCTAATTAGTTTCATCTTTTTCCATTGTTTGGACGCTTTCTAATACTATTTCTAGCTGCTCCTCTGTATTTATGTCTTTTAAAACATCTTCAGGTAGAAAAGAAGTTGTAAGCCCTACTTTAGGTTTGTAGCCAAAAAGAGCTTCATTTGGTGTTCTTTTGATCCCAGAAGGATAAGCTCATAAATTGTAGGAAAAAGGTTTTTCATAAATTGTAGTAAATGCAGTCCGTCATTCTAGCGGCCAAATTTATTATCTTGCATAAATGTACCAAACATATTTTTGATACTTTGATTAGCTCTTTCGACACTACCCTGGTTTTGTGAATGGTGAGGCTTTCCATGGACGATCTTCAGTGCTGTCTAAAACTCCTTCAAGCTGGTTACCACATTATTCACAAATTCTCTACCGTTGTCAGATTATAGTATAGATGGCGCTCCAAGCAACGAGAATATATCCACTAGGTTGTAGGCTACTTCTTCAGCTCTTTTTGACGTTAGAGATTTGAGAATCACAAATTTTGTGAGATGATCTTGGTGCACCATAATAAATTTGTATTCTCTATCTGGCTGAGACTGAAAGTTAATAAGATCTACCTGACAACAGGAATTAAATTCAGAAAGAAAAAAAAAAAAAAAAAAAAAAAAAAAACATAGGTTTCACAACAGTACTCTTTTTATTACCTCTCTGTTTTTTCGGGCTAGGTTCACAGGATGTACTGTTATACAGTTCAGGTGGATGTACAGTTCAATATCATGATGTGTAATGTTTTTGTATTTGGTTGAAAGTTCTGTCAACATTTTATCATGTCCTTCGTGTCCAATAGACAAATGAGATTCATGAAGTACGTGAAATAACTCAAGAGTCTGTGACATAAGTACTATACAGTACTGATGCCTTCTTTAACAGGATAAATAAGTTTACTTTTGTTTTCCGCAGTCATCACATCATAGCGATTCAGCAACCAATAGTCCCTGGGTTCCTTCTTAGTAGTCATTTTGTCTTTTTGTGCATCATTTATTAAGTAGTTTCAGTTAAGAACGGTAAGTAGTTTCAGTTAAGAAAACATTATTTTTTGAAGCATTAACTCTAATTTTGCACAGTTCAGTGTTGAATCATTGTTTCATGTCTATAGACCATGCCTCGTTTTCTAATAGTACAGCTAGTTCCTCCGTTTTCATGCAACCAAGTAAAAAACTAATTTTTGATGAACAAATTTAATTAAAATTATGTATTTTGACACTCCCATACAAACCGCAAAGTGCAACTGACAAATTATGAGCTTAAGGTGCACATTAAAAGTCACATGCCTTGCCACGTGATATTCGAAATGAATCAGAGATGTATTTTATACTTTTCCGGTTTCACATTTGGCATTCTATAGAATGTCTAAGAAATGTGTGAAATATAAATCGTTTCGTACATTGCCAGCTAGTTTTAGGCATTATATACAATGCCGGATTTCAAACTTTGCCGGCAACATATATAACTTAAGTCTGTCATTGGGATAAGAGTGCCTCAACTATCATTTAATAGACAGAGAAATCTGTGTAATCTGAAATGGTAGAAAAATATTGTCTTTAAGTCGCTTTAAATTTCATGATGTGGTTATTCGAAAATCACTTTTTTTTTTAATACAGAATACTACTTAGTTGAAGAAACAGGATAACCACTTATTCGTCTCTTTACAAATCGCAAAGATGCCAAAGCCAAATGAAACTCAATGTCAATGATATGCACCAAACAAAGTTACCAAGACTATGATAACAATGTTAAAAAAACATTGAAAAAGAGTTATAAAATAACATTAAAAAATAACCACAAAATTCATATGTTCAGCCATTAAAAAAAAAAAAAAACATTGTATTGTTATGCTTTTATTCTTTGAACAATAACTTCTTGTTTTTGCATAACAACACAATCAGATTGCAAAAATTTTGATGTAAAATGTAGCACCCAGCATATTTAATAATTTTGTTTCATTGGTAAATGAACCTGACTGAGTTCATATTACAATACTAATTTTAAGTTTTTGATTGACAGATTGCTATTAGGGTAAAGAGGAAGTGCAAATAGTAATTTTCTGGTGCATATACTTAAAGCACATTCTATAAATGCACTTAATAACCTTCAAAAACACGGGGAATGCATTGTTGAAATGATGCAGGATTTTTTCCCCTTCTAAATATTGAAGAGATAACCGAAAAAAATTCTACATTTTGTTTTCACTAGACATTAGAACTTTTGGAATTGCAGATAAGCATGCACATTTCTTTGAATTTTGTAGATATTCTATTGAAATCTAGTTGGGGAATTTTCTGTTGAAATTTGTAGCATCTGATCCAATCCTGATCGACTAAATAGTGATGAAATTGTATAGTTCATTGCAGATAATTTGATATTAGATGACAGCTTGATTAGTGTATGCACCAATAAACTTTTTAGTCATGCTTGAGACAAACTGTTGCATAGTTTCCTGGAAACTGCAGTGTAGTGAATAACTGGGTGGAATTTTGAAAGAAGCACAACTTTCTTGGAAATTCAACATCATTTATTTGGATGATAAATTTCTTTCTCTCTCTCTTTTTTGAATATTATCTTTTTAATATGTAGAACACTAGAAGTGCTTAATGTGCCCCATAGTTTTAGATACATCTTGCATAAGGGATAATAGCTAGCAGAGGCTAAGCAACATGTTGCCAGCAGGAAGGTGATGTAGTGAAAGAACAATCTGTAATTGATTGTGGTACTTTTATAAGCTTGGAGAGTGTTTTAGTTCTGGATAGTGACTGGGCAAAAGTTTACAGCAATGAGAATATCACAGGGAAAGCACAGATGCCTTGAAGAGGTTGTATTTTAATTAAAAATTATTAATTTAAAAATCTACTGGCAATTTGTAATTTTACAAAAATTTCTTATTATAATATTTTTTAATTCAATCCACTGCAGTTGAAGCCCGGGAATTAATAAATTAATCACATTCCTAATTTCTTTATGTATATTCTTCATAATGTGGCATTTTTATGTTTTTTCCTTTACAGAATTGAAAGACTTGCCAGAGATATAGCTCAGGATTATTATGATCAGCCTTTCACTGCTCTTTGTGTTCTCAAGGGAGGCTATAAATTCTTTGCTGACCTTCTGGATAAAATCAAGCAATATGTTCGAAATACTGGAGAACCCACTGCACCCATTTCAGTTGACTTTATACGCTTGAAGAGTTATGAAGTAACAATTGCTTCATTTTTTCCACTTTTTATAATTATTGGTCATGTAGAAATTTGACAAATGAAAATTTGAAAATTGTGACTGTAGTACTGAAAATAAGCTTGTATGAGGAATTCTTACTTTGGTTAATTTCTAAATGATAGCAATTCTTTCATAGTTTTTTTTTAACCTTGTCAAATAAATACCAGTTTAAAACATAAAATCATCACCATTTTTGAAATGTTGCATTTCTTTTTTCTTTTTCTTTTTTTTTTTAATCCGTTGCTTAACAGTAAGCATTTACATATTAAAAAAATACGTAGCTTAATTTTAATGGAATTCAAAGGAACAAGAATGTATTCGTTCTCTTCCCTCCAGCACTGTATAGATGTTGAATCATTTTGAAAATGGCATTTAAATGCAGCTACATAAGGACAATAAAATTAAAATTGCTTGATAGTAAGTGTAAAGGCATTTTTTTTTCCTGGGGGGGTTACAGCAACAGAAATTTAATAAAAAGTTAAGGATCATTGCTTTAAATTATTTAAGAGTGCCAGAAGTAACTATTTTGTTGATTGTCCTATGAAAAGTGTGCAAAATTTCTTTTAAAACCAACGTGAATATATTACTGTTAAATTATTCAGTTATAACAAGGTCATTATGCATATACTTTTGACAATGTCAATCTATTTTGAATTTCCTCATTATTTGAATTATGCATTAAAATTATTGCTATGAAAGTCATGTAATTTTAAATAAATTGTAAAATCAAAACAGGTTAAATATGTTTTATTTCTTAGAGTAAATAATTTTTTACCAAAAGGAGGAGAAAAAAGGCTCTATTTAAGGTGTCTGTTGATTAGCCAATGTGTGCTTATACACCATAAATAATCTTTTGTCAGGGAAATATAGCTTATACATCAAATTAATGAAACAAGTTTTTCAATTGTAGGTCGGTGTTGTTTGGCAATCAGAATCAAAATCACATTGGATTTTTACTATCAGCAATTTGTCTCTGCCTACATATAAACTCCTCTAAATTAGATGGCTACCTCCCTGGAGGCAGTTACCAGTTTTCATTTTGACGCTTAATTAGCTGTTGTTGCTATTTTATTTGCACTGTATATTTTTGGTCATGTAGAGTTTCATTGTGCAAGACCTGGAATGCTTGCGATTTTTTTGTTAAAATAATATGAGCCTGGAAATAATATATTGCTTGTACTTTATTTCTCAGTAAATGTAGTAAATGCACGATAAAAATGCAGTACATAATTATTGTATAATTTCATTAACACCTGTAAGTACACATAAGTCATTTTGACCGATGGACATTTTAATGTTCTGATATTGGCAACACTGGTTAATTGGAACTGAGGGAGTTTGTGAACTTTACATTACACCAGTATATATTATGTTCAGTGTTTGGTAGCAACAAGTTTTCTGCTTTTGTAAATGTTTCAAAATTGTAATACATTTAGTATCATCATGCTTAATAATCTTGGTGTGTTATTTTAAATGTTGTTTAATTTTTTATTGCCTTATGATGTTTTTTAAACAATAAAATAGGATAAAAAAATTAAATTGCATACACATTCAAAATGGTTGCATGTGTACCTTGGCATTATAATGAACATGCATTCTTACAGGTGTTAAAATGTGAATAAATAACTGAGTTAAATACTGATTATTTAGGATCTGTGCTGGTAATATTATAAACAAAAGCTGTGTTTCTCTGAATGTTTGTTCTTTTTATATCTCTAGAATGACCAGTCCTCTGGTAAGCTGAAGGTTATGGGAATAGATAATCTCAAGACATTGGCTGGAAAAGTATGATATGTTATTTAAGTGATTGAGTGTAGTTAAGTTATTAGGATTTGTCTTGTAAAGGTTGTCTGTGGTATCTTATAAATTATGCATATTTAATCCTAGTTAATTGTTGATAGTAACCATTAAAAAAGTGTGGGGAAAGGGAAGTTATTTTTTATTGTAATTTTTATATATTTTTATGAACAAATTTGAGTATTTTTAAACAATGAATAATGCAAGATATTACTATTTTTTGTAGCTCTTAAACCTCTGTATAGCAAAATTATAAGAATATAGCAAAAATTCATTACATAAGGTAAATTCATTGTAAAAAGAAGTATACCCATAAGACTAAACAATCACCAAAACTTTAGGAATGTACCACCGTTGTTTTCTAAAATATGTTATTTTAAAGTTGTCTGTTATCAAATAAACTTTGCCTTTTACTCTGTTCATACCAAAATAAAATGTTCTGAATGATCAGTTTCTTTTTAATGTTACTACATTTTGAAAATACATTTTTGATAGTAAAGATTTCTCAGTTTCATCAAGAATCAAAAGCTTCTTTGTAAACATGGAGAGTGCATGAGGGGGTCTTAAAACTTTGTGAAAAAGAATTTTGAAAATAGTTGAAACTTCAAACTGAGTTTGTTAGGGAAGCCTACTAATCAAGCTTTTAAAATGATCTTATTTAAGAAAACGTGGGTTGTTATGATATTCATTTAGTTAGTGCTGAAAAAGATTTGTTTCCTGTACCAGTATGAAAAATTGCTCTTCTTTGCAAAATGTTTTTCGAAAACAATCATCTTTCTTTTTGTGTAAAACTATAGTTGGAATAGAAAAATAGCAAAATTTTTCTTTGGTGTCTGTAGATGCATGTGCTACTTTCTTATAGTTGAATTTAGATAAATATAAAAAAAGGGGATGTTTCATTAAATTACATACTGTCTGTATGATTAACAAAAATGAAAGCAGTTTGTAATTAGAGGTAAAATCTTAAGTTTGTTTCTAAAATAAAGTGTCACAGAATATTAAATTTTTTATAACCTGCCAGCTTTATTGCTAAAGCTGTCAAGTATGTTAGGCAGAGCCATGCCTACATATTTTTTCAATTGAGGCAAAGTTGCCCCTTTGTACAACGCAAGGTGTCTGACCATTTCAAAAAGAAAACTGTGCACCCACAAACATAAATACTATATATATATATATATATACAGTACAAGTTAAATACATCTCTAACATTTTTATATATTTAGTTTCATTTCATTATTATATTTCATGTTATAATAATAATTTATTTATTAATATAGTAATAATTAATATAATTATACAATTAATTATAATTAGCTTTATAAAAAGTTTTTAAAAATTACAGTTAGAATAATTTACAGTTTTGAGATAAAAGAAAAAATTTAAATGATCTAAAATATTCATTTCTGATAAATGGCAAATAACATCAAAATAGTATAAATGGTAATATAAAAAGCATCACACTTATTTTTTTTAAAGCATCTTTGTTAATTTATTTTTATTTACTTACTTATTTATTTTTTATTATTTTATTTATTTATTTTTTCTTTTAACAAAGAAAAATCATGAATAATTTGCTCAACCATGTTTAATTTGCCCATGTTTGAAATAGAAAATTATGTATCAAAGAACAGCCATGTTGAAACTGATTGGTGGTGTTTAAAAAAACATGTTCATGGAATGGCCATGTTTGAAAGTTTTTTTGATCAAGTGGAGATCTTCTTCCCTTCTCTTTATGATGTTAAATTTGCTGAATCTTCTTTCCTAAGTAGAAACATTAGTAGGGAAAATGTTCTTAATTGTTAATAGGGAATGTATTCTAATTTTTTAATTATTTTTAAATGACACAAGCCTTTTAGCTGTTTTTTATCCAGAATTATAGCAAGAGAGAGGTTTTTAAAATTCATATTTCTGAGTGAATTTCAGCAGCATTCATGTCAACTGGATATTGAAGGCTAAGTTATAACCAGCTGCCTTTAAATTACATAAATCCAATAATATTAATTTTTCTTCATTTTGGACACTGATCATCTCACACTTCTTAAATGTCTGCAATGAACATAGATTTTTATGAAAAATTAGAAGTTTAGACATAAATTAGTTTTCTTATGAGTTGTTATTTGACACTATGATTATTAAACATTTCTCCCGTTTCTGCTCAAATTCTAACAATGTATTTATTCTAAAGCTAAACTTTTATACAGTCAAAAGTGGTTAATTCAGACACCAATAATCCAGAATGATCTATAATCCGGACCTCAAAGCTACAAACTTTCTGCGCATGCGTCGCATTCACGCAGGCGTTTACGAGTGCGCGTAAGACCTTTACGGCTGCATATGAATGCGCATGCTTTAATGTGTACGGATGGTATAGCTAAGCTAAATTATCAATTCGTAATGTGCAATGTGTTGCGTTAATCTTCGAATCCGGCTAATTTTTGAGCAGAGCAATTTTAAAATTGACTTTCATATTCAAGATTTAATATATGTTAGCATAATTAGTTCTTTATTAAAAACACATTCCGTCAACATTAATTGTTAAATACTTGCTTTATTCAGAAACATTACCGTCAACATTACTGCTCAAAAAACATTACAGTTCAAATTATTATCGTTCTGAAAAAAACTGTTGTTGCCAATCGGGAAAATACATTTTAAATAAAATTAATACGTTGCGTTTACATTCGGGCATCCTGACTTAGTTACGACCTCGGAACATTAAGAACTTATATTTAAAAAAATTAAATCTGTAATATTAATGTTTATAGTTCGAAAGTCTTTAGCTGTCATATAGATTCACCGTCGTTTTCTATTCTTTTTCCGTGTCCTAGTTTTAGTAATATGCGGCGTGTTGTTATCGTTATCCCCAGTAACACTAATGTCATCACCATCCTCCTCCTCCTCCTCCTCTGATCCAGCTTGACACTGCCATGACTTTAATTGGCTCACATGAGCTGTCGTACTAAAGAAATGTCCTTTCACCTTCTCTTCTAATTGAGTCACTCTATAGGTATCACTTGGTAAAACTTCTGTAACTACCAAAGGTCCTCGATACTTTTGTTGTGTTTTGGTTGATTCTCCAGTTGATTTAGGTACTCTTCTCATAACTACTATTTCTCCTCGTTCGAATGTTAAAGAATTGCTTTTCTTCTTGTCATAATTTGCTTTCATTTTCATCTGCATATCTTCAATTCTCTTTCTAGCTTCATTCTGTAAGATTACTGGATTCTCCCATTCATTTGCGTCTTCATCTGTAATCATCCTCATCAATCCGTCGTTAAATTTTGGTGAATAACCGTGAAGCATTTCGAAAGGAGTTTTATTTGTAGTCTTATTTATCATATTGTTTAGATTTCTTTCGCATTCCTTAATCTTTTTGTCCCAGTCTCTCTGATTCGGATTTTCCATACTCGTTTTAATCGTAGCCAAAATTGTTCGATTTGCTCTTTCCACCATTCCATTACCACTTGGATGTTGAGTTGAATTGAGTGTATGACTGATTCCATTATTTTGACAGTACTCTCGAAATTCCTTTCGCTGTGAAACATGTTCCTCTATCGCTGATAATTTTTTCTGGTAACCCAAAATCATCTACAAAACTCTTCAATGCAACTAACACATACTTGGTTGCAGTACTTTTCATAGGATATAAGCGTGTAAATCTCGTAAAATTATCAATTATTACAAATAATTCTGTATTTCCTCTTGAACTTTTTACGAATGGTCCTAAATGATCTATATGTATAATTGCAAAAGGTCTTCTACCAGGTCTAATTGGATGCAGTACTCCTTGTTTCTTACCACTAGGCAGTTAGTTACTAGGCATTCGAAACACATCGAAATGTGACGCATAACATATCGTTTCATTCCTTTAAACCAGTATGATTCCTTGATTTTGGCAACAGTTCTGTCTGCTGAAAAATGTCCCAAAAGATCGTGAAATTTTACTACAATACCTTTTCTCATCGATTTAGGTATGACATATAACAATTTCTCCTTTTCCTGATCTTTCACTTTACGAAACAATCGATTATTCTTCAAGACGTAATTTTCAGTTACATATTTCTCTGCATTCGTTCTATCATTTATCTTTTTCTTTAAAATGTCTATTAATTTGCGTAATTCTGGATCTGAATGCTGAATCATAAGAATTTGTTCATCTATCGTTAGCGTTAAACAAACTTCCAAGTTGTTTTCAATTATAGAGTCTAAAGTTTCTTCTGGCTGATCAACTGGCGATCGGCTCAATGCATCTATGTGACTCATTCTTTTGCCTTGCCTGTGCTTTATTTCAAGATTGTATTCCTGGATCAGATTACTCCACCTTGCTATCTGAGGATTTGAAGTTTTCTTCGCGTTTAAATAAACTAAAGCTTGGCAGTCTGTAATTACCGTAAATCGGATTCCAATTAAAAATTGTCGAAGTCGTGTCAAAGTCCAAACTATAGCCATTAATTCTAATTTGCTTGAATGATAATTCTTTTCTGTTTCTGTTGTTCCTTTACTTACACAATAAACTAAATGCCACTTTCTATCTTCACCTTTTTGCAACAGCATTCCTGCCAGCCCTTTGTTGCTCGCGTCTGTGTGCACTTCAGTCTCTGCTTCGGGATTATATAATGCTAGTATTGGTTCATTAGTTAAATGATCCTTTAAAGTACTGAATGCTTCTTGCTGATCTTCGTTCCAACGAAATGTTTCATCCTTCCTCGTCAGTCTCGTTAGCGGCTCAGCTTTCTCTGCGTATTTCGGTACAAACCTTCTAAAGAAACTTGTAAGACCTAAAAATTGTTTAACTTCATGTTCATTGGTTGGTTTAGGAAAGTTTAATATGGCTCGTACTTTTCTTGGTCCAGGTTGCATACCATTTGATTTTATTAGAAATCCCAAATACTCAACTTCATCTTTTCCAAATTCGCATTTTGTCAGTTTCAATGTCAGCATTGCTTCTCTCAATCTATCAAACACTTTCCTAAGTTTTTCCATCATTT